CTGCAGTTTCTCTCGCCACGTTTTTGGTCACACCTGTGGTCATCTGTGGTCTGAAGATACTATGTACACCAGGTTGTTTTCAGAAAGAGACCACATTGACATAACTTTTGTTATAGCATATCTTTGTAATTGCTTTTAAAGAATTAGTTACTGTTAATCTCTTGTAGCGTCTAGTTTTCAAACTGAACTTCATCGTAGGTACATGTGAAGAAAGGCAGTATAAGTAGGGTTGGGCGTGATCTGTGGTTTCGTGGAGCGGGTCTCCTGTGGATGGGGGGCTGCCGTAATAACGTTTTCCTGTTTCCCGGCTCTACATTCTGCTCCATCAGTGTGTCTGTTTCACTAGCTTGGGATGCATCTGGGATCTGGGAGGGCTGCCTTTCCTCACTGTTCTTCTTTTTCAGAGTTTCCCTGGCTGCTCAGGGATGAGGGGTTTGGAGGTGCTGGCCCTGCGTCTCCACCAGGTCTCTGTTTACGTCAGGACGAACCTGCTCTGCCTGAGCCCTTCTAGCGACCAATGGCTCTTCCCAAGAGATTCACAGCCAGGCCTTACGTGAAAGAATGGGCTGATTTCCTTTCCTTTTTGTTATACAAACCGTTTTTTCTATACAAAAACAGAGCTGCACAAAGAAAATGCTTCACCCCCTCTCTGCCATGCCCAGGGGCTGAAAATGCAACACTCAGTTAAAGCTTCGCACCTGGGCAATCGTCTCCGGATCCAGCGGCCTGTGGTCGCCGAAGCCCGTGTACTGCCCTGACGACGTGGACCTCCTAATGGGAGGACTGTCCATCTTCTTGAGCGAGTCGTGCCGGCTGATGTTGGTCAGGCTGCCATGGCCGGGCCGGCGCCTCCTCTCAGGACTGTCGCTGTTGAGGCCGCGGTTCTGGAGCAGGCCCCGTGGGTGACTGGCCAGGCTCGGGGACCCCAGGTCAACTGAGGAGTTGGAAAGGGCGTGTGGGGGGTGGAGGGGGCAGTGGCCATCACTGGTCCTGCCAGGACGCCGCACTGGAGGGGGTGGTTCTCCTCTTTTTCTTTGTCTGGACATCCACGGAAAGAGAGAGAGAAAACAGCAGGTCACACTGGGCACTTGGCTCCACGCCAGGCTCACGGCTCCTGAAGGGGAGGCTTATTATTTATTTACTTTTACTTTTTCCTTACAGACAGGGCCTCATTCTGTCACCCAGGCTGGAGTGCAGTGCTATTGTCATAGCTCACAGAAACCTTGAACCCCTGGGCTCAAGTGATCTCCCTGCCTTGGTCTCCCAAATGGTTGGTACTATAGGTGCACACATCCAGCTAATCCTTTTTTTTTTTTTTTTTTGCAGTCTTTGGCTGGGGCTGGGTTTGAACCTGCCACCTCCGGCATATGGGGCTGGTGCCCTACTCCTTTGAGCCACAGGTGCCGCCCAACTAATCCTTTTTTATTTTTTTTTGAGACAGAGTCTCACTCTATGCTCTGGCATTGAGTGCCACAGCATCATAGCTCACAGCAACCTCAAACTCTTGGGCTCAAGTGATCCTCCTGTCTCAGCCTCCCAAGTAGCTGGGACTATAGGTGTCCGCCACGACACCCGGCTATTTTTTAGAGATGGGGGTCTTGTTCTTGCTCAGGCTGGTCTTGAACTCCTGGGCTCAGACAATCCACTTGCCTAAGCCTCTCCGAGTGCTGAGAGGCCTGAGCCACGATGTCCAGCCAGAAGTGGAGGTTTGGAAGCCCGATTACCAGGCCCTACTTACCTAGCTAAATACCCATCAGAATGACGGTCTGTCGGGGAGTTCATATCCTTGGATGAGGACCTGTCTTCCGTGACCGGCCCACTGCTGGTCTCGCTGTCAGCCTTCTGGCTCAGAGTGTCTGAGAATGTATCATCCCTGGGACAGGAAGAATCAAGGGTGAGGGTCTTCTGCTCAGTAAGTGGAGACAAAAAAATAACTGATAGCATGTATGCAATGTAAGTCTTTTACTAATATGACTTTTTTTCCTTGTCTTATAAAAAACAATATAATTTTATTGCAGGTATATTGGAATTTTCAGTTATATAAAAGGGAGAGTAACGTATATTATATATAATTACATATATGTTATATAATTATATATTATAAATTATAATATGTAAATTATATAAAACTTGTGTCTATAAAATTATAAACAAAAATTATATATATTTATAACCATATATAATTACATAAAAAAGAAATAGTAATCACCCACTGCATAACATTCAGAGGCAACTGCTGTTAGAACGTTAGGAAGTCCCTTCCTGCACCTTTGCCCTATGCCTGGGATATACACCTCCCAGCGTGTAACACGTGGAGTGTGTACACTATACTCGTGTGATGCTTAAAGAAATGGGTCGTTAGGCGAGTCTGCTGTCTGTGAACATCACAGACTGCTCACACAGCCTGGATCCTGTGGCCCAGCACACACGGGCTGGACAGACAGCTCACTGCTTCTGGCTACGAGCCTGTGTGGCGTGTCTATCCGTGGAGCCCTGGTGGCTACTGTACCATTATTTATGCATCTGCTCATAGCCACGGCACAGTGAGGACATGTGCTGGGGCCTGAGGGGCTGCTCTTGTGTGTGTCATCTGTCACTGGCTGAAATGTAATTATGTGGTGCACATCTTTATATTTACACAAATTTGTTTTATATAAAGATATTTTATATAAAATGTTTATTTACATTTAGATACTTTAGTTGGTATATGACTGCATGTATATATACACACATATAACATTACTTGAATTACAAGATGCACATTTTAACATTTCCAAAATTAAGTTGAATCAGTCAGTATATGTTTTGTGTGGAACATTTCTCTTTTCCTTGAAATGCTACTTTTAAATTGGTAGTGCACCATACTCAGAAAATGGAGATTATTTTGCACCCTATTTCTTTCACTTAGTATATTATGACCATCTTCCCATGACTTTAAATATTTTTGAAATTTGAGTTTTTTCCCAGCAAAATTAAAGAAAAGAAAAAGCCTGGAGGTGATCTCCTTCGACTCTGGGTCAGTATCCTCTCTCTCGGTGTGTTTGGAATGACCAGGATCACCTCAGCTCTTCCAGCCATTCTCTGCACAGATTATTTTTCTGAGAATCAGAAAACTTCAAAAGACGCCTCCTACTAAGGCTTGCTCCAAGCCTCCTGGTCCTGAAGGACTGTGAGCAAAGAGCCACCATCTAGGTGAAGATCTGCACCCAGCTCAGAAGTTTTGTCTCTGGAATTCCTCCTGCTCCTCCGTCACTAGACCCACGCCGCTGGGAATGGTGGCTGGAGCCCTCCCTGGGAGCCCGCAGGCAGTCAGAGCTGAGCCCACTCACATGTCCTGCACCACGATGTACTGGTGGGGCACCAGCCCGTCGATGCCGTTGTGCCTGCCTTCCCACCAGTCCTCGGACGCGCGGTGAAACAGCAGCAGGGAGGCACCCTTCTTGAAGGACAGTTCTCTGGCTGACCGCCCGACATAGTCAAACTTGGCTATTGCTTCTATTGGCTCACATTCTACAAAGAACACACCAGAAAATGGTGAGAAACAGGGTTGTTAGGAGGCGTGATACACGATCTGAAAGGTCTAAGTGAGGCTTAGGGAATAAGCGAGGTTCTTTTAACATCCAGGCTGAAGGGAGTGATCAGCCACCACCCGGGAGGTGGAAATACTCGCAGAGGCTGTTTTTAAAGATAAAGGAGAACATCTTTTTTTTTTTTTTGAGACAGAGCCTCAAGCTGTCCCCCTGGGCAGAGTGCCGTGGCATTACAGCTCACAGCAACCTCCAACTCCTGGGCTCAAGCGAGTCTCCTGCCTCCGCCTCCCAAGTAGCTGGGACCACAGGCGCCCGCCACAACGCCCGGCCATTGTCACCCATTCTTTAGGCAAAGAAAAATTTGAGCATTGGAGCTTAATTTCCACAGCTTCTTACCAGAGATATAATGACAGTCTAATAAAAAGTATTTTAAACTTTGCAATATGATACATAAAATTTCTCCTTAGGTTATAATATCCTCCACAATTGCTCCAATATTATTTTGACATTGATAGATAATATCAATAGAGTTTTTTGTAATATGTTTTTACCATTTATAACACGGAAAAATCCCACTATCCCATAACACTAGAAAGTTGATGCTGATTTTTTTCTAAAAAATCAAGTAAAATCACCATAATAAATACTATTTGAATACATTTAATTTCCTCATGTACTTTTTTTGGACACTAACAATCTCCAAACCATCACCAATAGTAAAGACAAGATTTTCTCTAGTATTAGTAACAAATTTTGGATCCTTACTATGAAACAGATATATCTTAAAACTGTCCTGCACCCAGATTAAAAAACCAGATCAGGCCAGGCACAGTGGCTCAACACACACAATTTCAGCACTTTGGGAAGTGCTTGAGGTGGGAAGGCTGCTTGAGGCCAGATGTTCAAGACCAGCCTGCTTAGCATAGCAGAAACCTGTCTCTACAAAAACAAAACAAAACAAACAACTTAGCTGGGCATGGTGACCTGCAGCTCCAGAGGCTGAGGCAGGAGTTTTGCTTGAGTCCAGGAGTTTGAGGCTGCAGTGAGCAATGATCACACCACTGCCCTACAGCCTGGGAGACTGCCAGAGACTCTGTTTCAAAACAAAACAGCAAAACCCCCCAAAATAAATCCTGCGTCAAACAACCCCCCCCAAAAGATTGAAAGATTTGATTTTCTAGGTTTCCAAAGATATTCAAAGGAATTATGGTGAGTGAAGAAAGCCAATCTCAACAGGTCACATACCATGTAATTCCCTATGTACGGCATTCGTGAAGGGACAGAATTATAGAGATGGAGATGTTCGTGGTTGCTAGAGGTTGGGGTGGGAGAGCCCATGGGGGAGGTGGCCATGGCTATGATGGGGAGCATGAGGCGTCCTTGCCACTGAACTGCTAGTGATCTTGATTACGACTGCGGTTACAAAAATCTGTATGTGTGATGAAGGTGCATAGAACCAGGTGAGTACACACACAAAGAGTGTCTGCAAAGCCAGCCAGTGTGTGTAACGCCATCGGTATCCTGGCCAAGACGGGCAGCGTGTGTAACACCGATGGCATCCTGGCCGTGATGGCCAGCGTGTGTAACACTGTCAGTGTCCTGGCCATGACAGCCAGCGTGTGTAACACCGACAGCCAGCGTGTGTAATGCCCTCGGCATCTTGGCCGTGACATGACATTACGGTTTTGTGACTGATGGAAAGTGGGAGAAGAGTGTGTGAGTTCTCCAGGTGTTACTTTTTTTTTTTTTTTTTTTTTTTGAGACAGAGCCTCAAGCTGTCCTCCTGGGTAGAGTGCCCTGGCATCACAGCTCACAGCAACCTCCAACTCCTGGGCTCAAGCGAGTCTCCTGCCTCAGCCTCCCAAGTAGTTGGGACCACAGGTGCCCGCCACAATGCCTGGCTACTTCTTTTTGGTTGCAGCTGTCATTGTTGTTTGGCGGGCCTGGGCTGGATTTGAACCTGCCACCTTAGGTGTATGTGGCTGGTGCTTTAGCCACTTTAGCCACAGGCGCTGAGCCTCTCCATATGTTTCTTAGAACTGTGTGTGAATCTACAATGATCTCAAAATAAAAAGTTAAAAAAAGAAAAAAAGATATCTACCTCTGGGCCTAGGAGTGGAGTTGAGCTCTGATCCTGTTCTGACCACAGACACCGAAGGCCAATGAGAGGATGGACTGGACAGCTGTGAGCAGCACTTTCTTGTGATTCAGCTTATTACAGAAAGCCCCTCCCTGCGGCCCACAGCCGTCCCTTCTCTCCCAGCCCACTTTGGCCTCCTCCCTGATGGCAGCAGGATGATCAGTAATGAACAGAACTAAAAGTGGCGAGATTACTGGACCATCTCTGCCATGAACAACACTGCGTCTGCTGAAAGTTAAGCACGCATTGCTCCCCAGACACCCTGATCTGTGCACACCTACTCCAGGCTGCCCCGAAAATCACCAGACAGAGGGAAAATGGCCAAACATAGAGAATAGTTGTCAATGTTTTGTAAAATTCTGTACTGAATGATTTGTAAATAAAGGAACATTTAGCTATAATTTCCCATTTCCCTATGTATGCTGACAGTAGTGGCAACCTTAAGGACACCCTGAACATTAAAACTTACCCAAAAATTTCTCAGGAAATTGCCCTCTATGTCCCTTGATATGTACAAACCTTCCCATTTAAAGAGAGTTTATTTTTTCCAGAGTTTTCTGTACCATTGTCATATGAGTTGTGCTTACACATGACAACTTCAGAGAACTTGCTGGAGAGACCGCTGGGCCTCCTTCCCACTTGATAAATTCAAAGTTCTCTGGGACATGTAATGCAATGTTTTTTTTTTATATCCGTATTGGAAAAGCTTAGATTTTCTCTCATATTAAGGGTCTGGGTAAGTTTCAGCTAAACATTTTAAAGAAAAACAAAGAAAAATGCCCCATCTTTTTGCCAATGGCTAATGTTGGAGGGTGTGAAATATTTCACCCCACAGATGAAACTTTTCAGCAAAGGAGGTGGAAGAATGATTCTTAAACAACAGTTTGTGTCCTTTAGCAACTGAGTGTGACTTTTAGATCATATGCCAACACTCTAGTATTGCCCCTAAGTATCTATGAGTCTGCCTCCTAGAGGAGGGAATATAAATTTGCCTTTAAAGAGAATGACTTTGTAAGTTCTAACCTTTAACAGACAAAATCCTGGCTGACCTGAAATGGCAGAGGCTTTGTGGCATGTAATTTCCAAATTCCTGTGTGAACACACACACCTATTTATAGTTGGCTTTAATAAAAATATTAAAAGACACCAGCACCTGACATGGTGCACAGTCCACGTCATGACGTCACAGAGAGGGGACATGGTGCACAGTCCATGTTATGATGTCACAGAGAGGGACATGGTGCACCGTCCACACCATGACGTCACAGAGAGGGGACATGGTGCACCGTCTACGCCATGACGTCACAGAGAGGGGACCTGGTGCACCGTCCATGTTATGATGTCACAGAGAGGTGACATGGTGCACAGTCCATGTTATGATGTCACAGAGTGGGACATGGTGCACCGTCCACGCCATGACGTCACAGAGAGGGGACATGGTGCACCGTCTACGCCATGACGTCACAGAGAGGGGACCTGGTGCACAGTCCATGTTATGATGTCACAGAGAGGTGACATGGTGCACAGTCCACATTATGATGTCACAGAGTGGGACATGGTGCACCGTCCACG